ATATTCTGCAAAGAGGCTGCCTTGGTCCAGTCTAGGAATTTCTCAAAAGTAAGGCTATTTTCCACCTGAAAGACCAGAATCACAGGTTCATAGTCAGACTATGGTGGGTATTGACGAACACACAGACATTTCCATGAACATCCGCACAAGATGAGCAGTGCCTTCAGCTGCCCAGAAGCTTGTGAGGGCTCTGACTTGTCCACCATCCCACACGCTATCCCATGTGTGATTTCYCTGTGGCTGCCCCTCCTTATCCATCCACAAGCAAAACATATTTATTTCTGAAAAAMCTTTATGCCCAGTCAGTGGTGCTTTTCTTGTGGTATTTGTTGGTTTGAATGAAGCTTAGTTTCAACACAATGAACCATTGCTGGCAAGCACAAGAGACTGGAAGAGCTCTCAGTGTGAGCCTCTCCAGGACAGGGACAAGTGCCTAAGGTGGAATGAGGCACTGTTTGTGGAAACTCATCCTCACAGTTAGGGACCTGGAGAGAGGGAAAGCCCATGGGAGCTGCTCTGCTCACAGAGACCCTTTAGGTCATCACGGTGCACTGCCACCCTTGAGAAGACGGTTGGCTCTCTTTCTATAAGGATCATATCACAAGGAAGCAAGGAGGACAAGGCTGGGCCATTTGGGCTCTTGGGTTGGAGATACTGTGAAAAAAACTCACAGGTGTACCCAATTCTTCCCACAGAAATTGTGAGTTCAAAGGAGTGCAGCCCCCCCCAAACTCACCACACTGAGRTCCACGTCCTCATCTGGGAGCAGGATGATCATGCTCAGCGTCTTGCCAGCATAGGGCAGCTCCAACACCTGTGCCTGGGCCTCACTGATGTAGATGTAGTTAAAATTGGCTTTCTGACACATCATCTGCACTGGCCTTGACTCCTCCTGAGGGGAATGACCACATGAGCACAACATTTAAAACGGTATAAAAAGGGGAAAGAAAACTCTCAACTCTGGGGTGATCTAGCACTGCTAGAAATTAATACATTATTATCATAAACATGCCTTATAAAGAGGGGAGGAGGTTACTGCATACAAGCTTCCTTATTGCATTACACTGTATTTTAAAGGATTAGAGAATTTAACAAACTAGTCTAATATCTGTTTTAATAAAGTTATAGCTCACAGTTGACTAAGGCCTTTGCCACTCATTTTTAATGGTACAAAGATGCAGATACTGAATCAGTAATAAGTTATGATTAACAACAATTCAAATGAGAGATTACTTTAATTTAAAAAGTAATAGATGGAAAATCTGGGGAGTAGCTCAGTGGTATAGTACTTGGTTAATATGCACAAGCCCCTGAGGTTGATCTCTCATTGCACAAAAATATTTTTAAAAAATCCTGATTCAAGAAATGTGTTGTCACATTCCCGCTTTGCATTCTTCCTCATGTCATTCATATATTCATATATTCATATATAAACATATATATACATTTATATATGTATATATACATACACATACATATATCACCTCATTTTGCTTTTTATCTAAGCAACGTGTGTCAATAGGAAGATCTTTATTTCTAGAATGAGGTTAAACCAGTACATGTAGGAGACTTCATCAGAGGCAGTRAGAGTGCTAATAGGATAATAGGATTTAAACTATAATAGAGAGCRAGTATCATTTATTCAAATCATTTTTTCACTAACATTAAAATTTATTAAGAGAGGTGGTAAGTTTGAAATTATAATTAACCATTTATGCCTTTACAAAGTTAAATTTTCTATTCAATCTCTTCATCAAACTAGCATAATTTTTGAAAGTCTCTCCCTACCTGATTTATTAGGAAAGGTATTTCACACACATGTGATTTGTCAAATGGCGCATCCCATGTTCCTTTGAAGTAGATGGCATCGACAAGAACCAGCCTGGCCTGCTCATCAATTGAGTTCTTTGGTAGCAACTCTGGAATTTTACCTTTTAAGACAAGCACAAACTCTATCAGATGCTTTTCTGAACCCATGGTAAATAATCATGACAACGATGCCTTGGAGATCCAAACATTCTGGTTTCAAATGTGCTGGGTTTGGATGATAGGCATAAAAGTAAAAAATCCCAACTATGAGTGGTATTCAGGACGACAGTCACTGGAAGAGCCACCAAGTTGAAGATGGTGAAAGACTTCTATGTCACTGGAGGAAAGCAGGTTGGAACAAAGCAGAAACTTGACTCCAGGTTGGAGAAGAAGTCAAGCAGCAAAGGAGAGAGCGGCTGGGTAGGAGCTGACATTACCTGCTGTGGGTAAGAGCAGTGTCAGGTCTAAGGCTCTGTGATCAGGCCCAGTTCTAACATTGTACAGCTACCTGGCAATATTCCTGGTGCAGATAGAATTGAATAGCTCCAGAGCAGAGATAGAAGGATTTTCTGGAAACTATAGAAGAAATATTATGATTGCACCCTCCTGACACCTGGAATCCCTGGAACAGATAATGATTTGGGTAGGTGAAGGTATATCCTTTTTAATTTGCATATCAAGTGGTACTTTCCAAAAAACTAAGAGCATCCCTAGTAATTTGCTGCCTCTAGAGGGGACAAGAAGAAAAGATTCCAAGAATAAASAGTGGAAAGGACTACCTCTATTTTTTATGGTCTCATTTGTTAGCAGAAATAAGGATGTTCCTAGTGGTGCATAAATTATCTGAATGATTTCAACATCAAACCATCATTGATCTTAAGGACCAAGATTAGAACTTGTCACACTTTGAAACAGAAATGAGGAAGTTTTAACCCTGCATGGAAGGTGTTTTTAGTCTGTGGAGTGGATCAGCCCTGAGAGAGGCTCTGTAGCTGACTAATCAAGTCTAGGCTTCTCAAGTCTGATGAAGGGTGCTTAAGTGAGAGATAGGAAAGAAGAAGTAGGAGAAGTCACCCTAACATGTAAAAGTGGGAGGAATGAAGTCCAAACTGACTCCATGAAGAGGAGGGCCAAGGGCATGACTTGGGAARATCTGGCCATTGATCTGTTCCCACAGTCAACAGTCACCTGCCGTGTGAACAATACAGGYCAGTGTCAAGTAAATTATTACATGGGAAATCTGACCTACAAGTTTCTGTTGACACTTGTAACAGTCACTCCTGTCCTAGGAGAACAGACAGCATTAATTGTCTGGTTTTGAAACCCGAGCATTGATCAGATCTTCTGTGAGTCACTAAGGTTCACAGGCACCAAAGGCTCACCAGGTAACCTTGCTCTGATGGTTCTGCAACACCAGTGACATTAGCAGTGAGGAGGAGAGGTAGAGGAGAGAGGAGAGGAGAACAGGGGTGGGGTGGGAGGAGAGGGAAATAACTTATAATTCTGACCTTCCGTCTCTTTTGAGACCCAAGTATTTATATGCTCCCTGGACTTCTCTGTAGCTTCAGCAAAGGACAGCAGCTCCAGCTCTGTGTTGTAGGACTGAAGACAGGACTCCTTAAATGTCTTGGGAGAGAAAAAGTTCAGATGCTGGCCATAAAATGACAGTGAGCTTCAAATCATTCTGAATGCTAGATTTTAGGCTTTTCTTAAAATTAAAAACATGATCAAATCTTAACTACTTGATGGTAAAACATTTTAGTTTGTAAAGAGATATTTCCAGAGCCCTGAATAACCAGAAATAATAAATAAWTTTGAGACATTGCCAAAATTGAAATAATATAAGTTATGATTATAGAATTGGGGTCTTTATTTAAAAAGTAGTTTACTATAAGTTTCTCAAATTCTCTAGAATAGTGTTCATTTTTTTCCTTGTTTTTGCAGTACTGGGGTTTGAGCTCAGGGCCTTCAGCATGCTAGGCAAATGCTGTACCACTGAGCTACATCCCAAGGAAGTTTTTCATTTTGTTCTTGAGACAAGGGTGTCACTAGGTTGCCCAAGATGGCCTCTGACTCTCCATCCTCTTGCCACAGCCTCCCAAATATGCCATCCTGCCTTGTCTCTAGAGTCTCTCTTCTGGGTTGTATATCACCAGGTGTTTTAAATACAACTTTTATTGCTCTGCTGACTCAACTTACTGAGAAGAAATCACAGGTCTTCTCTCCAAAGAGCCTATTGGCTGTTCTAAGCAAGTACTTTGAGCCAGGCTTGTTCACTTGGGTGAGAAGCATCTGGAAGCCCTTATGGATGTCTTCCTGTATCTTTAAAGACATTGCCTGTGAAGGAAATCAGCAAAACTCTGTCAATTTTGATTTTGGACTCAATAAGAATTTGCAAGCAATTATTTTCTCAAATACTGCATAAATTTTTCTTTTGAAAGGAAGTTGATTCTAATTGAGAAGTGAYACTGGTGAGATAGGTGGAGAGAGGGGCCAGGAMGCTGGTGAATAAAAGATATGGCTCTTGTACCTGCACAGCGCTCTCTGCATAGTTTAGAGATGACCAATAAAAAATAAATAAATAAAAGGGGCAAGAGAGGTTCAGAAAAGGAACTATTCTTAAGTCCTGCATCCATGGACACCATAAATGTGTCAGAAGAGAGAATAACTTGCCTCAATAATTTATTTATAAAAAAAGATGCAGTTAAAAACACTAAAAATCCAAGAAAAAATTGGACAGGAATGCAATCATCATGATAATATTTAAAAGGAAATAAAGGTATAAAATGAGCAATATGATTAATAAGAATAAACCTGTTCTTAAACAGTATCCTAGAAAGAGATAATATATGTACATTATGCAATACTTTATATTTCAAAGGTGTCATATTAGGTCACAAGAAGAGTTTCATTTGATTCTGAAGTATGCAAATGACACAATTTATATTCAATGACTTCAGTGTAGGAAACTAAAAATCAACAACACTACAACTAAAATGCCAACAACATGGAAGCTAACCTACTAACTAATTATTGAAAACAGTTTCTAAGGAAATAACTCCCTTTTGACATTGTTTAAATAAGTGACATAGCAACACAACTTTGGATTCAATCTTAAATGATAGTATACACAAAAAAGATAAAATCTATAAAACTCTTTTTTCTAGAATTTGTAAAGTTACTTCCATTTCCCAACATAATTAAATTTAAACTACATATATTTTTTCAGTCTTCCATTTGGCAACATACTTGCTTTCTTGGGTAGATATTAGCCAGAAATTAACAAGAAATGTCTTATCACCTTGTAAAGATGTACAACCAAATTGCCAAACCTTTGTATCAGCTGGACTGCCCTCTACTGGACTATATAAAATATTCAGCAAAGAGGTCAATGTGACTTGGTTTGACAAGCTAATTCAACAGAAAAAAAAAAAAAAAACATAAACATCTTATATCCCACACAAACTGAAGTTTACTGAATAAGTTAAAAACAAAAGGAAAAAACTCTTAATAAATTAATTTTTACCATGAAAGAAATTGGCAGAGTGCCAATTCTACCAGTAAACAATTTGAATCATTTTGAAAATTGGAAATGAAGGTTATGTAGTTTCAGTCTTTTCAACCTTGGAGGCAGAKCTGGAGCAACAGTAGTAATAGGCAGGAGCAACAGGAATAATGTAATGGCAATCTTTACAAAGATTTGTGTATTAACACAAATCATATATTTGTTAGTCTATTCAGTCTACAGATGTTTTCTTATGCATAAACATGAGTCACAGTGGACACATGCTGAGTAGCTCATATCTGTTATGTCTCTTGTCACAACAAGCAATAGAAGTTTTGGAGCCATTTCCTCTGTGAAACACCATTTTGAGTAGCAAGTTGTTTTTCCTCTGTGGCTCATGCCCAGGCCTGAGACTTGCAGTACTGTAGGACCAGTTTACCATCACTGCCCAAACATCCCTCATCTGGGGGAGGAGCAAAGGACTGATTCCCATAAGTGAACAAATGTTCCAAGGCCACAAGTTTAAGGAACTTCTTGATGAGTCAATGATCCTTGGATGGTTCAGTTCTCTCTACAACCCACATTTTGTTTTCATGATAGGGGTGCCCCACAGCCTGTAATAGAATGTCAATTTTTGTCTTGGTGTCACTGGAAGGYTCYTCTCCCTGAYAAGACTGCAGCAGAAGAAAGGGCTCTGGAGTGGCTGTATCTGGGGAGACATCCATAAGTCCTTCATGCCAGCAGCAGCAGTTGAACAGAGTTTCCACACCGACCTTGATGATTCTCAATAAGGTAGACAATAAAAATATTTTTTCTTCTAAAGAATGATTTGAAATAAATATTTAAAATACTATTTAAATATGTGACTTATGATTTAGAAAATAAAATGAATGTTATATTACCAAAACCTAATAATTAGAACAAAAAAATATTAAAACAACATTTATTATTTTAATGTTACAAAGKAAATAATGATATAACAAAATTCCCAACTCATGGTGCTAGAAAAGGTAGAGAAAAATTCCTAAGGGATTTAGGGAAAAACACAAAATGCTCAATAAATCCAAAAACTGATTCTTTCAAAGAAAGCACACATTTCTATCCAACATAGACAGACATCAACAATTGTAAGAAAAATTTTACAAATACTCACAAGGAAAGTTAAAAATGAAAAAGAGATTACACAGTAACCCCTGTGAGCAACCTCCACAACATCTCACTGGAGGAAACTCCTCAGCTCTCTCCTTCCCTTCCTCCTGTACCCTCTCCCTAAAATGGTCCAAGCTCACCCCTCCTTCATCAACAGCTCTGGAAAAATTTAAGGAGGGGATAAAAGACAACCCTTGCAGACCAGTCTCTCCTCCTAGGTGACAGGCAGGCTTACCTGAGCCATCTGGTCTTTGGTGTTCCCCTTTGCCCCCAGGAGGACCATGGCCAGGGCAGAGGAGATGCTCAGGGGAGAAAAAAACACATTTTGTGAAGGTCTGTCTTGACACAGCATCTTCAAAACCTGGATGGCAAAGGTGCCATTTGCTTTTGAAAGAGAATCCATGATGCAGGGTCTGGGGGCAAAGAAGACAGAGAAACACAATGAAATGGGGCTGAGGACACTGTGTGTGGTCTCTGCTTGGCTTTCATTTTTCTTGTGAATTCAGAAAATTTCTGAGTACCGGCGAAAGCCATGGGAGTAGATTAGACAAGTGAGGAAGGGGCTGGTGTCTGTAGAACATCAAACTGTGTAGGAAAGGAAGAGCAGAAAAGCATGCAGAAGAGAACAGAAGTTGACAGGTCAAAGCAAGAAGAATGGATGACTAGTCAAAGCAAGAGCAAGGAGGTGCTACTTGTAGCCAGAGTGAGTGGAGTGTAAACACCAGTGAGCAAGTCTATGTAGTGAGATCTTTCCTCACCCAGGGCTGGCCTTAGATCCTGGGAAACCTCCTCAACAACTTCTCATTCTCCAAGGTCCCCCCAACTTATGTCCAAGCCTGCCTTCAGCCCCCTCCCAAATCTTTCTACCCAACTTCACTTCTCCAGCCCCTGTGATCCTGTGCCTAGTACAAACCTCCTGGCTCCTCTCCATAGCCTCTAGTCAGAGGATGACCCTGAGATCACCAGTATAATAAGCCTCTGCTCATTAAAATGCAAATCAAGTGAGCTGGGAAGTCTCAGAACTTGGGCTCCCCCTATCAAGAGTTCAGATGGACAGACACACAGCATCCTGAGAGGGAAGCGCTATCTTGATTCTATGATCCCACCCTTAAATCTCCAGTGACCCTAGGGAGGAACTCAAAAATATGTTTTGTAAATTGCATCCCATCTGCCTGGCCCCATCCCTTGCTGCAGTCCTCCTCTGTCACAGCCTCCACCTCTATTTACCCTGACCCCCCCGCCCAGTCACCTCTAAGCCTTGGCAAACAGTGATATCCAACTTAAAAGACTCCCTATYCCATCCCTGTTACCAGGCTCAAATCATTGGCTCCTCCCTCCTAGGCTCAGCACCAAAAGGTCTCTGATGCCCTAGTCTAGATCTCCCTCCTCCCCACCCTGACTCATCACTGCTAATTGTAATTCCTTGTCTCATCCATTGTTGGACCCACAAGACTGTCTACTCTCTGCAGGAAAGTTGTCTGGCATCCTGAGTCTAAGCACCTACAAACATGCTCAGGAAACAGCAAGAGCTCCATCAATCAGGGGGAAATCTCAGATAAATAAAGGGTGCACTGGTTTTGAATTGGAGACTAGAGATTTTAAAAGCACAGTGAAAGGTAAGGCAGAAGTCATGCTGTGACTCCCTGAGGAGAGGAGAGGGGAGAAAATAAGGCCATTAGGTGGGAGCTGTGTTGGAGCATGAACACCCACTAGGGTGAGGGCCAGGACCAGCCAGGGGCAGGAAACAGGTAAGCAGAGAAGCCAGGAGGCTGTGCAGCATCTTTGTCTTCTTGGAATCCTGCTGCCCTTATCCAGGACTAGACCCAATCAAGGTCCCTCTGCACAACTGACTCCTATGATCTCCCAAGAAGCTATTTCTCTAAACACAGCAATGACACTGACTTCTTAGATTCTCTTTTCTCTTCTTCTGGCCTTCCCTTCTCCCAGTGGTGGCCTGGGGTTTCTAAAACTTGCCTGTCTTGGTCCACTGTCACTTCAGACCCTGCACAGAAAAGTCCTCACCTGCCACCTTCCACACAGTCTCTCCCTCAGGTCTCAGTGCTGCTAACCTTGTGCTGACTTCTGAATCACAGGACCAGGATCTACGGCTGTGCCTCTCTCAGGTCCACTCTGGGGCCTCTGCACTCCCAGAGACCTTTTATGAGGCCTGTTTGGCTGTGGGAATTCCTACCTTCCAATCAGCATTCACCGCCCCAGGAAAGAAATCCAGTTGACCTGGGTCATGGCAGGGGATAGGGTCTCCTCCCTGCTCAGGGATGGATCACTAATCCCCTTGCTCTTGCTCCCCTAGCCTCACCTCCTCTGTCACACACTGGTTTGCACTGGAACCCCAAGGGAGACACTGGAATGGAGTTGGGCACAGCATGTTTTCTAGAGGATTCTGAAAGTGAAAGCACTCTGAAAGTGACAACCACCTGATCCAGTTATACCACTCTTCTCTGTGTACATGTGAAGAAATCAAAGTCAGCATAGTACAAGAAACAGCTGCATACCTATGTTTGTCCCAGCACAGTTCACAAAATCCGAGTTATGGAATCAGCCTAGGTGATTATAAGATAAATTGATTTTTTTAAAAATTGATCTGTATATATGCACAGTAGTTTTATTTAGCCATAAAAAGGAAGAAAATGTGATTTGCAGGAAAATGAATGAAACTGGAAAATATCATGTTAAGAAAAATCAGTCTCAGAAAAAAAAAAGTGTCTCATGTTTTCTTTCATATGTGGAATCTAGAGAATAGTATAAAATGACATGAAAGTAGAAGATGGACTAACAGGGAAGGTAAGGGGTGAGGGAAAGTACAAGGGGGGACAAGAGAGTGTGACAGGTAGGGTGGATTCAGTTAGAGTACTTTATGTGTGCATGTAGGAAATTGCCACAATGAACACAGTTGTTTTGTATAATTACTATGCACTCATAATTATTTTTTAAAAATACATTTTTTTAAATGTTGTTTCCAAGGGCTGGAGATATAGCTCAATTGGTAGAGTGCTTGCTTCACATGCACAGACCCTGGATTTGTTGTAGGGAAAAAGGAGGCAAGGCATCGAAGATATCAGGAAGCAGTTTTATTTGGTGCAGCCAGGTTCAGAGGGTACAGCCTTTGCTGTGATCAACTAATCCSCTGAACCCCAAGTTCAGGGAGTTTCAGAGTTTTATACCCAGCATGTAAGGGGAGGAGCTCAGAAGTTCACAGTCTGCAGAAGTTCACATAAAGGCAGCTTTTTCTTTCACTGTTTTTGGCAAGTTAACCCTTCAAGGACAACACCTTTCTCTCCTCCCCCTGCCAGCTRTTACCATGGAGCCTAGTTTGTAACTTATCTTAAAAATGTAAACATCTCTGTGAAGCCCAGCTCAAGGCCAGAGGCCTTGTTTGCACATTTCTACAAACTACTAAACTGGATATGTTTGTGAAAAACTAATRAAGGGTGTCCAGACCTGGAGTTCTGGTATCTTCCCGGCCAGTAGCCAAGTAAAACAGAGTGACATGAAAATAGGAAGTTTATCTACATCGAACTCTTTTGCAGAGACTCTTTTGCTGACAGTCCTAAAAATCAGTCATGGTAAAGATTTTTGGAGAAGCCCAGTTAAAACGTTTCTGTAGGGCTGGAGATGTGGATCAAGCGGTAGCGCGCTCGCCTGGCATGTGTGTGGTCYGGGTTTGATCCTCAGCACCACATACAAAGCAAAGATGTTGTG